GTCTCACATTTAAAGAGATTGAAGCAAGCATCAGATATGATGAACAAAGCCCACTTGTAACTATTGGTATACTTTTTAAGTGGAAAAGACTGCCCTGTACAACACAATTATGTTTAATAAATATGCTACTCAGTGTGCCATGGTCTGATCACGCCATCGTACCTTACTTAACATTAATTGAGAGCCAGGTGACGTCCGTTATACTTGGAAATAGCGCTCACCAACGTCGGATATGAGTGCCTCGACGATTATATTTTTCTTGGCCTTGATCACCACGTGGCTTATGGAATGACAGGATTGAAATGTCAGCACGTCATGAATGCCAATGTGGCTTTAAAACACTTTCCCGACATATCTACGCCCATTTTCGCGGGCGTGTAGCTAAAAAACTAGAGGATCTTAGGTCTTCAGGACATAACTGCGAACAGCACCGAAAGGTCCTCAAGATGGCCACTTCAGTTCAAAACCCTCATATACATGAAGAATACTCCTTTAAACAGCAAAATTAAACTGTTTCCTCAATTTGCTGCTCAATACGCCACCGTTTGACTACGTAATACAACGTCTTTTTATAACGACAGAGTCGCTGCCAGATTGGCTGCTAATATTTCGGACGGAGCGACTTACTCGTGGTATTGAACGCGCCGCCAGTTGGCGTTAGCGGCCTATGCGCGTGCGCTTATGTTACCGGCAGTATGTGGGCGTGTATTGGTCTTTTCCCGTGACATTCCTGCATACTTTTCCGTGGTTCCATGTTGTTTACTCCCAAATGCATGCCAGTTATCACAAATGCAGGTCATGATCGACGGCAAACAGCGGTCCATGATCGGATTCCGTGCCTTTATTCTATTTCTCGCTTTGCCCTGCAACCTCGCGACGCCCCGCTTGTCTGGGTCAGGCTGTATTCGCCAGCTACGAGTGTCCTCTGTTGGGGCCCCCGCAGATGGATCCCTGCGCGAGTTACGTCCAGGCGGCTGAGTTCCCAGGTGAATGTGGTCCTGCCCCATCGTTATCCATTTCCCTTCGTCCCATAGTCCTGAAAAGGTCATTTCCATTCGAAAAAGGTCATTATTGGCCCATACGGCTTTTATCCAGATAACCAATCGTAATCGAGGCACGCAGTCAGTGGCATAACCTCTTGCTAACCAACCGCTGTGCGCCAGCGCGACGATTCATGCTGGCGTGCTTCACACACGAATAATCAAATAACTACACTACTTTAGACCTTGAACACAATATGGCCATTAAGGCGGAGGAAATCGTGTGATGTTTCTATGACGTCATACAGATATATGTCTGCAAAAGCTCGTGTACGTCTACGTTAGAAAAAAGGGTTTGTGGCCCTAACAATGCATAAATCTTATCTATACAAAATGATCTTGAGAAACAAATATTTCAGTTCAAAATTCCATACAAATGCGGAAGAGTCCCTTTAACGGATAGGGCTTTTATAAAAACGACATCTGGCATCCTTTTAGTGTTAGATTCAGGTACAATCTTGGAGCGCGTACCACGTGCGGTCGCCATGAGGCACACTTCCTGGCCCTTCTTGCCCCTCGACGATAAAGGGGGCATTGCCGTGAGGGCCCGATTGACATGGAAAGGTCGGCTGGCGGCTGGCCAACGAAGGTCAGCAGAGCCTCGGGGGGGGGGGGGGAGGGCCTTAAACATTGTGCACTCTCAGCAGTCGTATCTGGTGGACAACTCGGGACAAAATTTCCCGTAGAAACGGCCGGTAAAATCGGGTGGTAACTTCAAGGCATACACAACAAACTTTGCTCAGGCATTATCAGAAGCCATCATAGTCAACCATGCAAGCTCGTCCGAAAGATCGCAAAACAATTGACTGTTGGATCCTGATAGCGACGGGGCGCCCATGGACAAGCGGACGCTTGCGTCCCGTCACGATTTCAATTCCTATCACAGGGGATTCAACAGACATCACATATATAAGGATATATTAAGTTATCTGCGCATTTCCGAGTACCTTTTCGTTACACGAAAGGGAGGACGGCGAAATGGACACATGCCCGCCATGCTCCCCTTGTGCGGCCCATGTATCACCAATATCTCCATTATCTTCTTGATTTTTGTTGTGTTCATTTTGTGTTGCTTGTCAGCCAACCAGGTTTCACTGATTTTCCATCAGACATTTCAATGCTGGATGTTACAGGTTACATGTGAAAAGGCATTGCTTTATGACAAGACATGTTAGATTCTGGTTCTTGTTGGTTCCTCTGACAGCACTCTACACCGGATCTCGTTGTTGGCTGGATCCTCAAGTGATTCCTGGCTGGGTCTTGGTTTTCGCCGGCTCCCTGGCCAGATTTCCGGCTGGGTTTTGTTTTTGCTGAATATCGCGACTTGGCCTAACACTGCATCCTGGTTCTCATTGGCTGTCTTGCACAATTTGTTGCATCCCGCTTCTTGCTGGTTTCCTTGGCACGTTCAGGGCCGGATGCTGTTCCTTGCCGGGTCCGGGCCGGATACCGAACTGTTTCCTGGGTTATTCGTGGTCCAAGTGCCAGTGACCGAGAATTGGTTGCTAGGAAGAAATGTCAGGAACCGGGAGGATGTCATCCGAAGGGTGTCCGTCACTGTCAGCCATAATACTGGGCCACCCGCGGGGATGTAGCTCAGTGGTAGAGCGCTCGCTTCGCATGTGAGAGGCCCCGGGTTCAAACCCCGGCATCTCCAAGTCTTGATTTTCGACTCCATGACTGGCCAAGACGGGCGAAGTCCCTCAGACGAGTGCATCCTTAGAAAAATCCTAAAAAGTCTATCCTAAAGCCACCTTAGAAAATGAGCGCATCTGGAGCTCACGACAGGTGTACGAAAAGGTCCGAGGTCACTCAGCGCATGAATCCTGGGAAATGGCGTTCAGTGATATGCTCTCCTCGCATGTGACAGACACCAGTATCCCAACGGACCATACAGACGACGTTCTTCCCGTTGCAACTGTAGCAGACAACGAAGGTCCATAAAAGCCATAAAAGTCACGCCACATGACGGAGGGGGCGAAACACTTGATGCGACAGATTTTCGCCGCAAGTAATGGGAGCCTGGGCGACGTTCCCAATGGCACAAATATCCATCTTTCATTAGACGCACATGATTACTTCCGACACTTACATGGTGCAACGGTGCGCTTCGTCACTCCGACGGCGTGGCGGTGCACTCCGACACTCTGACGGTGCGAGGACAATACCGACCTGGGTTTGGTTTTCATCAGCGGATTTCATCCGCCTGCCCATGGCGTCAGCCCGGCACGGACCGGACTTGAGTCTTTGTTAATATACCACCCGTCAATACTTACTGCGTTTTCACAAACGACCGACCGTTTTGGCGATCACCCGTTAACGACGGAGTCCAGCGGGGATGTAGCTCAGTGGTAGAGCGCTCGCTTTGCATGGGCGACGTTCCCAATGGCACAAATATCCATCTTTCATTAGACGCACATGATTACTTCCGACACTTACATGGTGCAACGGTGCGCTTCGTCACTCCGACGGCGTGGCGGTGCACTCCGACACTCTGACGGTGCGAGGACAATACCGACCTGGGTTTGGTTTTCATCAGCGGATTTCATCCGCCTGCCCATGGCGTCAGCCCGGCACGGACCGGACTTGAGTCTTTGTTAATATACCACCCGTCAATACTTACTGCGTTTTCACAAACGACCGACCGTTTTGGCGATCACCCGTTAACGACGGAGTCCAGCGGGGATGTAGCTCAGTGGTAGAGCGCTCGCTTTGCATGTGAGAGGCCCCGGGTTCAAACCCCGGCATCTCCAGTGGACAGTTTTAGGCCAGTCGAGCATGGGAAACGGGACGAATGAGAGTGGCAAACATCTGGATGCAAATCACACCTCATGGATGTTGCCGTTACCGACAAGTAGGTCCCGAAGGACGCGTATGCTAAGGAAGGACGTGACACGCCTTTGACTTGCAAGTTTAAACAATCCCATGGCCAGAGCAAAGTGCTTTTCGCGTGCGGCCATCAAAACCATTTCCAAGCTTTTCTGGATTTCGTGTGTCATTGAGGCGTTACTAGGCACTCAGCTGCTAATGTTACATGCCGTCGCCTGCCTCTCACCCCGACAGGAAGGGCGGGAACGGCGGGGAATCAAACCCTCTACCTCCGTTTTCCTAGACGCACAGCTCAACCACCGTTCACCCCAATCCTCGATTAATTTTTTGGCTTTGAATAGGTGACACATTACAAGATGTAATTACATATATTTATCCAATTATTACTCGATTAACTATTTTGTGTGCCTGCTCTTGTACCGGATGACACAAGCAGATCAGAGCCATGGCTCGGTGCAGACCCCAATGCGGAGCCACACCATGCTGTGTTGTTCTCGCATCTTGTTTTGCCGCTCCCCACTCGCTCGCAGCATTCCTAGGGAGTGTTCGTTTCTTCCAGCCCCGCCGAGCCAAGCGCCGCGGGGATGTAGCTCAGTGGTAGAGCGCTCGCTTCGCATGTGAGAGGCCCCGGGTTCAAACCCCGGCATCTCCAAGCGATGGTTTTGGACGCCACGGGTGGTCAATATCAGCAGTTTGCATGTAGGTATTGAAGTTTCAACCAAAGCGGAAACAACGCTGCCAGGTCATGTCGGCTCAGCGTGGCGACAGCTTAAGTCGGCGAGCAACGTGATCCTTAGCCTTGAAAGACGCATCTTATTTTCATGAGAATGAATTAGCAGACATCCCAGCCGAAGACGGAAACCATGACCAATCTACCTTGAGATAACTCCCATCTCTTTCAGGGTGAAGGTACCTGACTCGCTACTAATTGCAACACGGTCACAGACGGGCACCGAATTTGGCAGCCACCACACTAATTTTGCGGGGATGTAGCTCAGTGGTAGAGCGCTCGCTTTGCATGTGAGAGGCCCCGGGTTCAAACCCCGGCATCTCCACGGGGAGTTTTGGGTAAGAAGACATTGCCTCCACCGAGGCATGTCATGAGCAGGCCGGGCGCGGCCGTTCACTCACCGCCTGGTTCTTCTGCAGTATCTCGATGAGTTCGGCCGCGTGCCGCCAGTCCTCGCGCACCATGAACGTCACGGCCCGACCGGTCTTGCCGGCCCGGCCCGTCCGGCCCACCCGGTGCACGTAGTCCTCGATGTGGCGCGGGAAGTCGAAGTTGACGATCAGCCTGCGGGTCCAGAGTCGCGCCGTTCAGAGCCTCACCGGGCCGTTCGCGATCGCCGCTGCATGCTGACCAGCGTCACGCGACGACTACACGCCGTGTATGGACAGCTTCCCCGTCAGCACGGACATGACTACCAGCGGCTGACGCCCGTCTTACCAATGGGGCTTCCTCGTGAGCACGGCGCGGCTATTGACGGCACATGTCGCGAGGGCTCCACTGCGCGCGAGCGGTGGCACTGGCAGCGTCACCCATCGCACCACCCAGGAGAACCCGCCCCGGGCCGTCCCGCGCGGGTGGAGGAGGATCACGTGATCCAGACTGGCGGGCGGAGCAAGCTCACGTGACGTCGGCGATGTCGATGCCACGCGACGCCACGTCGGTGGCGAACAGCACGCGGCACGAGCCCGACTGCATGTCCTCGATGGCGATCTCGCGCTCCTCCTGCGGCCGGTCACCGTGGATACTCTGCAGGTCCACGCCGTTCACACCTGACGGGGGGGGGGGGGGGTCAGGAGCGTCGTTAACTCTACAGATCCACGCCATCCGCACCTGACGAGGAAGGGGGGGGGGGGGGCAAAAGGACGGTCAAGAGCGCCGTCAACCCCACAGTCCGCACAGCTCACGCTTAGGAAAGCCCGGGTACGGGGAAATGTGATCACGCCCTATGGGCAACGACAGTGGCGGAACACCCAAACAATATTCGCATCGACCTGGAAAACACAACAGAGGAGGGTGGAGTGTGGCGGCATAACACACACACTTGAAAACTGACCATAGTCTATGGAGAGCTGGCTGGCCTTAGCCTTCCGGCCGAAGAAGACGATAATCTTCTCATCGGGTCCCATGTTGTACAGGTACTCGTCCAACTGCACGTGAACAAGGTCAGGGTGGTCACCGCGCAAGGCTCGGCCGACCCATACGCACTGGCTTAGGCGACAAAACAGACCCATTTACAACGCCCCGCGAAGACGGTATAAAGACAATAAAGACATCTCCCTTAACGACAACTTGAGCTGTGTTCCCACCGGCTAAACAACCGTAAGAAACGAGATCATGGTGAAGGACGGCAAATGACGGAAAAGCGTGAGCGTGGATGATTTAGTGATAACAGGGTGTCCATCCCCTGTCGTTCAGCGCCACGTGAGCCCCTCCCCCGCCGATTAGCGCCACGTGCGGGGCGCATGTGGCGCTTCCCTGCTGCTGCCAATGGGCGCGCCGTACCTTTTCCTTCTTCTCCTCCTCGTCGCGGCAGAAGACGATGATCTGTTCGACGGTGCGGCAGGCCTGCAGGTCCAGCGTGCCGACCACCACGTGGATGGGCGTCTGCATGTACTTGTCGGCGATGCGGCGCACGTCCACTGGCCAGGTGGCGCTGCCGGCGGCGGCGCGGCGTCAGCACCGGCGGCCGGCGCCCAGCAGCCGCGCAGGCGACAGCGACGGCGCCCCGGGCGTGGGCTGCACGCCCCAGGTCAGCGAGCGGCGGCGGCGCGGCGTCAACACCGGCGGCCGGCGCCCAGCAGCCGCGCGGGCGACGGCGCCCCGGCCGTGGGCTGCACGCCCCCGGTCAGCGAGCGGCGGGGAGCGGGGTAATCTGTTTGGCATGCTCTCTGAATGCCGTGTAAGAGGAAAGATACATAATTCGTGGATCTAGGCCGAAACCTTGGGCGGAAGTCCAGAAGAGCGGATCACGTTAGCGATCGACGGGGACACACGCCGGTCTGTCACGTGCCCGCGCCACTCACCTGGTCATGACGGTCTGCCGGTCGGGCCGGATGTCCAGCAGCACCTTGCGGATCTCCGGCTCGAAGCCCATGTCCAGCATGCGGTCCGCCTCGTCCAGCACCAGGTACGTCACTGACGTCACGTCAATGAACCCTGCCGGCCGCGCCGAGAGGACACTGAGCGCGGCACGTCCACGAGCCCCGCTGGCCACGCTGGCAACTGCGTCATCTGGGGCGAAGATGCTGCACTCGTTATGCGGCCGCGCTGGGCGTAAGGCCCAGAGCGGGCGTGTTGTTTGGCCCGGGTTACACCAAAAGGTCAGTTAGGCACTGCCCAATGAAGGTCAACCCAGGGCTGGGAGGCGACGCCAAACCACCCAACCACAACCCCCCCCCCCCCTAATTCTGTGCGGCGCAAGCGAGATGGCAAACTTATCTGCAGAGCTGAGTGGTTCAGTTTGGGTGGTGAGATCAGGGTACATCAACAAGCTTTGCTCTGAGGCCAGAGCCCCCCCCCCCCCTCACATCCACACCAATTGGATTACCCATTTTTTATTTATAAAAAACTCCGACAGCCTCACATCAACGCTGCCTGCCGCACAGACATACAGACAACCCAGAGTAAGCACGACTGACTTGTCGGCCGCTGTCGGTCTATCAGTCGCTTGCGTTCCAGCCGGTTTCTGCCCCTTGCACCCATCCAGTCAGCCCGCGCCACCGCCGGCTCTGTTGGTCCAGCCGGAGCGCCTCCCCCCCCCCCCCTCACTCCCGACCAGTCCATACCAGCCTGAACCAGGTCGTTGAGTCGGCCCGGCGTGGCGATGATGATCTCGACCCCGGAGCAGACGGCCTTGACCTGCGTGCGTCGGTCGCCGCCGCCGTACACACAAACACTCCGGATCCCCCTGTAGTTGTACCTGGCGACAACCGGCACCCGCGTCACGGCCACAGGATGAGTAGCGAGGACTGTGCAACATTAACACGACGCGCAGGCAGAGTGGCGAGGCGAGACTGAAGCCGCAGCGGTCAGCTGATCAGCTGGGCGGGGGCCCCCTCACGTACGGCAGTTGAGAGCGAGGCCATAGTGGCGACATGTCGGCCGACCTCATCAGAGCTTAGGAAAACAGCTACGAATATACTTACCAGGGAGCAAAACAATACGCGAAGCTCATCAATTCGTACGACATGCAAGTGCATCCAATACCACATCGTCCTTTTACACGACGATCTTATTCGCGTATGATTGTTATCATGTATGATACGATGGCGTCCAACCTATACCCAATCGATATTTATCCCATCTGAAGTTTTGTCATTAGCAACATTTTGCCACCACACCCATACCGTATCGCTACGATCTTCCTACACACGCCCCATTCCTTACAGCATTTCATCACATTAGCTTTCACCCGGTTACTAAAGAGCCCAGGCTGTGCCTACAGCTTGGGCACGAACACACATGTCACGCGCTACGCTTGTGGTTCGGTTCTCACCGTTTGACCTCCTTCTCGGTCTGAAGGGCCAGCTCGCGGGTGGGCGCCAGCACCAGCACGTTGGGGCCGCCGCGCTCCTCGCGCGGGATCGGCTGCAGATCTGTGTGGATCAGCGCCGGCAGCAGGAACGCCAGCGTCTTCCCTGGCCACGAGCGGGACAGACCGTCAGCTGACTGACGGACTCCACCGCTCTCCCCGGCCGAGACGGGGGCAGGTCGTCAGCTGACTGACGGACTCCACCCCTCTCCCCGGCCGAGACGGGGGCAGGTCGTCAGCTGACTGACGGACTCCACCCCTCTCCCCGGCCGAGACGGGGGCAGGTCGTCAGCTGACTGACGGACTCCACCCCTCTCCCCGGCCGAGACGGGGGCAGGTCGTCAGCTGACTGACGGACTCCACCCCTCTCCCCGGCCGAGACGGGGGCAGGTCGTCAGCTGACTGACGGACTCCACCGCTCTCCCCGGCCGAGACGGGGGCAGGTCGTCAGCTGACTGACGGACTCCACCCCTCTCCCCGGCCGAGACGGGGGCAGGTCGTCAGCTGACTGACGGACTCCACCGCTCTCCCCGGCCGAGACGGGGGCAGGTCGTCAGCTGACTGACGGACTCCACCCCTCTCCCCGGCCGAGACATGGACACACCGTCAGCTGACTGACGGACTCCACCGCTCTCCCCGGCCGAGACATGGACACACCGTCAGCTGACTGACGGACTCCACCCCTCTCCCCGGCCGAGACGGGGGCAGGTCGTCAGCTGACTGACGGACTCCACCCCTCTCCCCGGCCGAGACGGGGGCAGGTCGTCAGCTGACTGACGGACTCCACCCCTCTCCCCGGCCGAGACATGGACACACCGTCAGCTGACTGACGGACTCCACCCCTCTCCCCGGCCGAGACATGGACACACCGTCAGCTGACTGACGGACTCCACCGCTCTCCCCGGCCGAGACGGGGGCAGGTCGTCAGCTGACTGACGGACTCCACCGCTCTCCCCGGCCGAGACATGGACACACCGTCAGCTGACTGACGGACTCCACCGCTCTCCCCGGCCGAGACGGGGGCAGGTCGTCAGCTGACTGACGGACTCCACCCCTCTCCCCGGCCGAGACGGGGGCAGGTCGTCAGCTGACTGACGGACTCCACCGCTCTCCCCGGCCGAGACATGGACACACCGTCAGCTGACTGACGGACTCCACCCCTCTCCCCGGCCGAGACATGGACACACCGTCAACTGACTGACGGACTCCACCCCTCTCCCCGGCCAAGACGTGGAAAGACCGTCAGCTGACTGACGGACTTCACCGCTCTCCCCGGCCGAGACGTGGACAGACCTCAGCTGACTGACGGGCACCACCCCTCTCCCCGGCCGAGACGTTAACAGATCGTCAGCTGATTGACGGACTCCACCCCTCTCCCGGCTGAGACGTGGACAGACCGTCAGCTGACTGACGGACTCCACCACTCTCCCCCGGCCGAGACGTGGACAGATCGTCAGCTGATTGACGGACTCCACCCCTCTTCCCGACGGAGACGGGACACACCGTCAGCTGACTGACGGACTCCACCCCTCTCCCCCGGCCGAGACATGGACAGACCCTCAGCTGATTGACGGACTCCACCCCTCTCCCCCGGCCGAGACGTTAACAGATCGTCAGCTGATTGACGGACTCCACCCCTCTTCCCGACGGAGACGGGACACACCGTCAGCTGACTGACGGACTCCACCCCTCTCCCCCGGCCGAGACGTGGACAGACCTCAGCTGACTGGTGCCGCTCCTGGCCGCAGCATACGAACAGCACTGAACGGGCAGACAGCGTCAGCTGGTGAGTGCCAGCGTCGGAGGCGGGCAGCACGCATGCAAACGCAGACTGACAACTAACCGACGAACGTCAGTTGGCACCACCCCGGCGTGCGGTTGCCGGAGCCGAAAACAGCGGAGCATTCCGTCACGCCACGGTCACGGTACCGACAAAAGCACGCGGTCGCGGTACGGCCTCTAACACCCGCCGCTCCCAGACGGCAGCAGCGGCGCGAGGCCCGCCGCTCTGCCACTGACCTGAGCCGGTCTGCGCGATGCCGATCATGTCCTGACCGGAGAGCAGCACGGGCCAGCCCTGGGCCTGGATCGGTGTCGGCTTCTCGAAGCCCACCTTGACCAGCTCGTCCAGGATCTCCGGGTAGGCGGCGAACGCCTGCTCGAACGTCGTCACCGGGTTCGGCAGCGGCGCGTCCTTCTCGTCGCAGCTCACGTGCACGTCGTTCATCTCGGCGCTGCGCGGCGAGAGCGGCGACGGTGACACGGCACAGGCGTCGCGCGATGCGCGGTGTCTGCGTCTTTATTTCGAATGTAAAGAGTATACCGGCTGTGAATTGATGAATGACATGAAATAGCTGAAGTGAGTTGAAGGTCGTACAATTTCAACCACAACACTATAAACGGATAAAAAATGGCAAACGGATAAAACGGATAAAACACTAAAACGGAAACGGACACAACACTAAAAACGGATAAAAAATGGCAAACCTGGCTTACTAAAAACAAGGCCACTTTATCAAGTCACGAGACAAGCTGCATCATCTTAGTGAAGTACCCGACACATTTTTAGATCTCAGGCTTTTTGTGGGCAAATCGCCACACTTGGTGCACGACTCACTGCATTCAAATAGTTTCCGACTTCTACAACAGTATCTCATATTTACATATTCAACACAAGGTGTGATCTAGCCGCTGAGCCACACAAGGCGGCCGAATACCGTACCGGACCCGCGCCACCTCGTCGTCCGGCATAGCGGCCACGGCCGGGTCCTCCTTGTAGAAGTTCTTCTGCAGAGGCGGCACCTTGCTCCAGCGCTCCTTGTCGCCATCCGCCTGGCATGGAGTGGTTGGCGTCCGGTCAGAGACGCTGGATCACGGATACACGAGCAGCCGCCGGAGGCGCAGGGAAAAGCTACAGGTGTGATGTGACGGAACGTGCCGAAGACATGACGAGCCCGAGGCCCTCAGGTACGGCATAAATCGCAGTGATGACAACCGGTTTGGTTTGAGCTCGTCATCAGGAGCACATTTTGTTGTATTGGGGCGTCAGGATCTTCCACAAGTTCCACTAGTGTGCCAGTAGGATACACTATAGAGCTTACGGACCTAGAGGATGGCTAACGCTGCACAGTCCGAGACTCCACACAGGCTCATTCCTGCCACCAATGACCGCACAGCACCGTCGTGACACGGGCCGGCAGTCTACAAGGAGAGCGGCGCCAGGAAGGAGGGAACAGGACAGCCCCTGGCGACGACGCACCTGCATCTGCAGCGCCATGGACAGGCTGAAGGCGGGCCGGTCGGAGCGCGGCTCGGGACCCACGGCCGCCGGCCGGCGCGGCACCGGTGACGCACTGCGGTCGCGGCGGCCCCGCGCTGGCCGCTCCTCCGTGCAGTCCAGCAGGAACTGCTCCACCAGCAGCTTGGCGCGCTCCTGGCTGCTGGCGTCGCCGACGAAGTCGACGCGCGCCTCGGGCCCGCCGCCGCACCGGTCGATCTGAGGACGGCGGACGGCGTCGGTCAACGGCGGACACGGCTGGGCGGCGGGCCACCGGATCGCCGGCGGGCAATTACATTCACTGCTTTACTTTGGTGGGGCAAAACCTTCTTGTTATGTCTCAAGTTAAATGGACACACTTAAAATTAACACGCAGTGATAGGCAGAGCCAGCTCGGACCTCGGTGTACATTGCCACTTCCTTTCAAAACAACTTTGTCATCTTGAACAGCCACCCATAGTCCTCGAATAGCTACACACATTCCGATATTCATTCGCCATTTGAACCTGATGAATTTTAAGTTCATTCATCCTGGTCATTCCCTGAAGATGGACGGCCCACTCCCTGCAAGGCAGTTTTGGCAGGGCCTTTGGCACAGTTCTCTGGAGGGCACTCACACGTATCCTGGCGCCGGAGTTGGCCTCGAGCTCGCGTATGTTGGCGCCGGCTCGGCCGATCACCCGGCTCACGTCCGCCGCGGCGATCACCATGGAGAGGCCGTCCGGGGCCGGCGGCCGGCCCGCCTCCCCGCCCGGATCTCCAGCTGCACCACGCCAGTTCGGCGCCCCACTCCGGCCGACGCCCCGCCCCCTCCAGCCCCGACCATCTGGCTTGCCACTGCTCCAGCTGCCCCGGGGCTGGCCACTGGCCGGGGCACCCCAGGCCTGGTTATTGCTCTGGTCACCCCAGGCCTGGCCACCATTCTGGCCACCCCAGGTTTGGCCACCACTCTGGCCACCCCAGTCTTGGCCACCATTCTGGCCACTCCAGGTTTGGCCACCATTCTGGCCACCCCAGGTTTGGCCACCACTCTGGCCACCCCAGGCTTGGCCACCATTCTGGCCACCCCAGATTTGGCCACCATTCTGGCCACCCCAGGTTTGGCCACCATTCTGGCCACCCCAGGTTTGGCCACCATTCTGGCCACCCCAGGCTTGGCCAACATTCTGGCCACCCCAGGCTTGGCCACCATTCTGAGCACCCCAGGTCTGGCCAACATTCTGAGCATGCCAGACCTGGCCTCTGCCTCTTCCTACCAAGCCCTGGCCTTCATTCTGCCCTTGTCTGTTTTCCTGGAGTGGTGGGTGTTGCTGGCTTGACTGAACCTGAAGTGATGCCACCTCCTGATCCCAGTCATCATCCATGGTGCTGTATTTTCCTGAAAACAAAGCAAATGCCTATACAATTCATGAACAGCTAGTATTCAAACAAAACAGGCTTTACAATGCAGCTGTATTGTTAGCACAGGATAGGTTCAATGCAACAATTCTTGTCCAATGCAAATAGTACAACATCCCCATACACAATTCCTACCATTACAAGCACATCCAATACAATTTATTGTGTGAATAAGAACTGTATTGGATAAAAGATGCTATCTATCTGATGGATGAGGCCTACTATTTAGCTTGAAATGCTCACATTAATATGATTTGGAATTGATTTTGATGCATGCCATATACACTTGATTCCTGTTAGATATATATTCAGTTTCTAATGGTTTGGTGTTTCTGTTCATCATTTGCATTGAAAGAGGACAAACATTTAGTGGAGCAGTTAAATAAAACAAAACAAGTTAAAACCAAGAACTGGCTGGCAATATAATAATGCAAGAAGTCATAAATCAGTCAGAAGATGTTTACAATAGACTGACATTTGCATCACCTAAGCAATGAAACCTTTCTTATCCACCCCTTTGGTGCAACTCAACTTGCAAGCAATACCCATCCTGGGTACTTAGCAGCAACCAGGTTAAATGGTATCCTTCAGCCAGCTCTGACCAAAACCAATAAATATGAGCTGACAAGTGCCACTGCCACAATGTTGGCATTCACACTAATAAAATAGTATCCTTCCATTACACAAACAATGAAGCTTTTACAATGTTTCCAAGTGGTATAAGTATGATAAATTGCATGGCTGACAAGCCTGAGATTATTGACAAGCAGAAAAATACATCCTACAAAAATTATCAATCACATGAAAAACTCAGTCATGGATGGTTGCGCAACCAACTTTGGGAGGGAGCCCACATACCTCATTCAGCTCTTGGCAAAATGAAAAAGCAACATGTTATTTCCAGCGTGGGGGGAGGGAGGGCGATGGACATGACTGCCTTGCACTTCTAAATATAGAGCCGAAAACATGGGGAGAACCTAATGTACCTTTTGGGTGGCACCGGCGTATGCGTGGTACTCCCTAAGACTGCCTAGACAAATAGAGGGAGATGCACCAGAGATTTATGGCGACCCTGGCAGTTTTGTTTGGCTCCAAGGGTCATGTAATGATAGTAACCAACGCTCTGCCTCATGCGCCCCCCACGAGGGCCCGACGCATACAGCCGTGCGCGCTGTGCGGGTATCAGCTGATTATGAGAAGAAAGTGAAGGTCGCTTATACTTCCACCGTATTGTATGATGACGTCACAAAACCACAAAATTCATTCCTACCCGGCGATAGTAACATGCGTGCTTAAGACCACTAAGCCCATGATGGCAGATGGACGCTTCTCGTCACACGTGCGGTCCATAGCAGACGGACAGGGTCAAAAAGAAATGGGCCGAACTGAACAGGAACAAACGGAGCCGGGCGGAACTCGACCGGTCTGGACGGAATCAAACAGAATGTCATGAAGCGAACGGTGACCGGACGGAATCACTCCAGACCAGACCGAGCAGAGCACATCATACAGGGCCGCGTGGAACCAGACGAAATCTGATGGGATCAAATGGCACCGGACGTGACTGGACGGACGGGACGGAACAGGACTGGATCCGACCGGACCAGGCAGGATTGGACGGCACCAGATATGGCCGGACGACGGTGGACGGAACAGAGCTCAACCACACAGGACCAAATTGAAACGGAACAAAGCGGAACCAGCGAGACTGGACGGAACCAAAAGGGACCTAACCGCACAGGATAGGATCGGTCGGCACTAAATGAATGACAGGAACAGGGTGGAACAGAAAGGGACCTGACGGAATCGAACAGAACTGGACCGAACTTCATGAGGCAAGACAGAACTGGATGAGATGAGACCACACCAGACGAAACCGGGTGGGACCAGACCAGACGATGCTGGATGAAAGGGGGTAAGATCTCATGGGCCCAGATGGGACCGAACGGGACCGGACGGAACTGAACACGACCAGACGGGACCAGACGGGATTGGATGGCACCGGACATGGCCGGACGACAGTGGATGGAACAAAGCTGAACTAGTTTGGACCATCTGGTCCTGTATGGTCTCTTTAAGGCTCACCTGGCTTCGTCTGGTTCCATTCGTGGTCCCGTCCAGCATCGTCCAGTCCCGCCCGCGCTGGACGGGCGGGACAGACGGGCCCGTCTGGGCTGATTTAGTCTCACTCGGTCCCTTCCTGTGCTGTACAGTCTTTTCTAGGGTCTTGTTTAGTCTCGTCCATTCCCACTCGGTTCCTTCCGGCCCCGTGCGGTGCCGTCTGACCTTGCACGGTCCCGTCTGGTTCATCACGCTCCATTCGGTGCCGTCCGGCTCCGTTTGTTCCCCTTCCGTCATGTCTAGCTTCTGTCGAACACGCCCAGTGGCATTCGATATCGCCTGAACCCGTTCGGTTTGGCTCAGTCACTTGCGGGCCCTTTGGTCTCGTCCGATCGCGCTCGGTCCCGTTTGACTCTGTAAGTTCCGTCTAATTTCGTCTGGTTCCGTCCCGTGCCATCCGGTCCCATGCGGCCCCGTTCCCGGTATTACTACTGACCAGTTTGGCAGCGCTTTCTGGTTTTCTGATGCTGTCATGCCATCCATCGACTTATATAGGGATTTCTTTGTTCTGCGATGACCTCAAATTTTATTGACAACCCATATTTACATTTTGGCGCGATAGCGCCGAATCTGATTGGCGCGATAATGACTGATTGTGTTCAATAACGTGACTTGCAGATCAAGTAAAAGATGGAATTTGGAATTCTCGTTATTCAGCAGCGAATTTGACTCGCCATTAAACCGTTATTGGAAAACAGACATACGTATGTATTCCTGTTGTTTCTGTGCTGTGCTGTTCTCTCTTTGGCGTTTTTGTTGAAATTGAAGCTCGTCGATAAAGACACTGCTAAACTAATCTCCAACTTCACGGCCGTACTTATTTTGTAAACCTACACGTGTGCTTCGTTCGTTTCTCAGCGCGCAATCATGTTGCTCAGCGGAGAAAGCACTCGTTCTCTCTCGGGCGGTGCTAGGCGGTGCTAGCTCTCTAAACGGTGCCGTTTTATGCATGCAAGGAAGGATCTGGAAGCGCTCCCAGAACATCATCACGTTTGGGCCAGATATCAACACACGAAAACACACGTATGCGCCGCATTCATTCTCCGCTCTGAGTTTTCGGGAGGTTGTGGGTTGGTGGCGACTACGTGCGCATAATCAGTTTTGCTGTACTGTTGGCCCCAAACATTGTGGCGTACTTATTTGTGTGGCAGTTCTTCTGCTAGCATTTCTTGGGGTGAAAGGTTTGTACATGTGGTCAGCGACTGATCTTGTATGCAGCTCGGGCGGTGGACCGCTGCACTTTGGCCGGTAATCGACGGCCAAATAATATTCATTGTTGAAATAAGTTTGTATGATCTCGGTGAACTTCTTTTTTATTTAAGTTTTCCACGACAGGCCTCCGTCGTGGTGCGCAAGCATGACCATGTGCTGTGCAAGCATGCCAGAAAGGGTGTCTGGAATGCCAAAAATGTACATCATGCGCAACATCTCTGGCATAACTTTGACCGGTCTGTTAATAGCTCATCCATTTCTACTAAACTGTGCTGAATTTTGAAGTAACTTGTGGCACAAAATTGGATGGTTGATGCTCATATATGAAATTTCCTTAGGAACTCACACTTCCTTAAAACACTGCCTGTAACTGCGCTGCTGGGATTGATGGTGACCGTACCAAATTTATGGTTTGTAGATTTACCCCGTGCTTTGAAATTGTTGCTGCTGTTATTCCTAAGGTCTTAACCTCTGCCCTAATGTAGGGTTGGTGTGACCCCACCCCTGTCAACATGTCCTCAGGTTTGGGCTTAATTTGATCCTCAAATTTTTTAGGGGGAGTATTTTCTGAACAGTGCAGGGTAGGCACTTTAATTGTTGCAGTTATAGATGATTGAGTAGTGGATCATTTATCACAAAAATTGGGATGTACCTTGTAAGGTTGCTGAGCTTTGGCTGCTCAAATTCAGGCCATGGATTCAACAAAGTCAGTTTCTTGAGAACAATTCATTTGATGCAGTTCCAGGGTGTTAGACAAAGCCAGGCATCTTTGTAACACTTTCTTAGGCAACCTTACGGTTGAATGAGTAAATTCCATTGACTTAGGGTCAGGTATGAAGGTCAGACCAGGGTCAAAACCAGCCTGTTTTATTACTCTAGCACTTGCTGTATGAGTTAGTTTTTGGTACTCATTTTGAGTTAATTGATAACAGGAACCACATTGCATATCTCCCATGGACTGCTTCAAGGTCAGAATAGCTCACTGACCTAACATGACCCATGTCAGCAGTTTGTTTTTTGACTTTACTATGTAGCATTATCTTTCTTGCTTATTCAAATGAAAAATTCTAAGCAGTGTTGTAGGATTTTGACTAGCATGGCATTGAAATGTCAAACAACGTCACTGACCTTACTGAGCATGTGACCTTTTGCTTAGAATGGGTGTCAAGTCCTGGGGCCACTTGGGACACTCATGTGGAGTTTGACCATGTTTGACCTTATTTGACCAAAGGGTTATGATTTAGGAACAGTGTTGGAAATTCCCAAAAAATTCCTGGTAGCAGAGTGCAAATTTTCTGTAGTGGAGTACAAAATTGTCCAAGTGCTGTGGGCCATTGCAGCTTTATTTAGGTTATCTTTGAGAGGTAACAGCACACTAGGTGGTACTCAATAAATGCACCACTTTTCAAGTACAGCAATTCATGCAAAATCACTTAAAATGAAAGGAAACATCAGTATTAATTATGGCACACTAAAGCAACACAGTTGCATACCCTCTATTATGAAACACATGTGCATATACATTGGTTTGCAGTTTATGAAAGGCTGTGTATACACCCTCCAAAATGGAGAGTAATTACACATCAGGCTTATACACTCTCCAAAATGGAGGGCGGCTACACACTGGGCTTCTACACCCTCCAAAATGGAGGGTGGGTATGATACGCACAGCCAGACAAAAATGGTACACAAAAAATGCAGATGAACATGTCACAGACAGCCACCTGCTCATACTCCACCATGATCACGCTACTCACGCTCCACCGCGGTCACGCTACTCATGCTCCACCAGCTATCTGGATTCAAAAACAGTTAAACATTCATGCATCCACCTTCCCACTCCCAGTCAACACAAGAGGCCCTGCACATCCCACCTGAACAATAGAGACAGGCAGCACTCTTAACTGATGTACCGGGCCAGCACAAGTACAATGCCTGACAGACGCATGCTATAATTGTGAAATCTGATAATTTATGTTCCAATTTATAGATTTTTTATCCTTCTAAACTCTTCTTAGTTTGCCAGGCTAAAGTTATGGGTTCATGTTGCTCTGGTGTCTTGGTGTTTTTACCGCAGCGAGATGGCTGCCGCCGAACTGTTTTTGGCTATGGATGGCAACATCTTTTGACTATAAAGGATATTTTTGGAAAGCCTGAATTACCAGCTTTAATTGTACACCCCTAAGTGACAAATATAACTTGGTTTAAATCCACAGTTGCCATAATATTTTTGTACTCTGGATACCAGGAAGTGGCCAAAAACCCAACCACATATTGGTTCTGGATGAGTACAAATAAGTCCTTCTTCATAATCATGATGCCCATCTCTATACTTCCTTCCGAATGTTTACAAATCTGTTCAAGGCATGAGCACGAGCAGAATGTTTATGCTCCTGACAAATCAGTCACGAGGAGGCAAATCATTAAAACCACATGGAGAGTTTTGCTATGTTCAACCTCCAACCTGAGCTGGGAGGTGGGCGCAAGCCGCTGTATAGTTGAGACTTTTCTGACGCTGAATAGCGAGTGATTGTCTTACTTGCATTGCCATGACACAGTGGTGGCGGTGGGTAGGCGGCCGTTTGTGATAGGTGATTGGACATGCGGTTTTCTATGACTCTTTGTTGCATCCTTGGCAGTTAATGCGGTTCGTCGTCAATGGTAGGTTAAGTCATGTTCAAGTTTGAGTTGGGCTGCATAGGGCATAGGAAGTGAGAGCTTTGCTAATCTACAGACCATTGCAATTTTGGTAGTCCTTTCTCATTTCCCATTATTGTTCAAAGGTGATTCCATTCAACATTCACTCACTTTATTTTTCACATTTCCATCCATGGTTTATCATATACCTAGGTGGCAACACAGGCTGCTTGCTATTGGGCATCTTAGTCTGGTGGGTGCAAGATTTGTGCCCTCGCAGATATCAATACATGGCTCCTGATGGAAGCAGCAAGTCTCAAGCTGTTGCACCTCATGGTTTTATTTCGTCCTGGCTCAAAGAGGTAAAATGAGTTTTTCCAAAAGCTGTTCTTGTTGCATCATGATGGAGTCCAAAATATTTCATTTTGCTTAGTCACAACCCTGGAGTACAAAATCTTCTGGTATGCATTATACCAGAAAATGTCAAGTTTTCCAACACTGCCTAGGAACATCAAAATTTGACCTTAGTGAGGTCACATACAGGCCAAAACATCCTTCAAAATTGGTGTCTATAGCTCTCTTAGTTTCTGAGATCTCAGGGGGATCAAATTGCCCCCACCCCCCACCTGAGAGAAGAGTATCCAAGCAGCATTCCAATTGTTAGCTGAATATCTAGAACAAAATGTTGAATGTATTTGAAAAATATTGTATCTAATGCCATGAAAATGGATGTTAGACTCAATTTTATTGAAAAGTATCAGGATCTGGGTTTGAGGACATGACTTAGACTCAGATTCTGGATTCCAGGCTGGCATCTGGCATTGACATGGACTTCAACATTGTGTTCCTATGTACCAAGATACCAGGAATGTTCATTGTTGACATGTTTGGGAAATGGATGGCTGTTCTTAGTATATCAACTTGCTTTGTTTATGAAAAATATCTTGTTCTTCTCCAAATGGCTAAACAAGAAAATGACTACATATCTGCAAATAAGCCTATTCCATTGCTCATAATTGTGTGATGCTACCACACTTTTCATCTTTCCAATCACGGCTGTATTAAGAGGTGATGCTTGTGCAGACAATTGCCCAGTGTGACCAGTGGCCCTGCCCTTGTCACAGGCAGCTGCACAGAGTGACCGACAATGAGCGACATCCAGAGCTGGTTCAACAGCCTGCCGCAGTTCACGCGGCTGTGGTTCGGCCTGACGGTGGTCTTCACGCTCGTGGGACGCTTCGGGCTGGTCTCGGCCTACTACCTGGCACTGCTGTATGAACCTCTCTTCAAGCAGTTGCAGGTGCGGACGAGCGCGGAGCACCGCCGCATGCGGAGAGAATTGTCAGCTTGAGCGTTCCTGCGACGTGGGTGCGAGGAGTGTGGACTTGTGCGAAAGCAGGCTGTAGATCTGTTATGGGCCCTCACATTAGAAATGTTTTACCACAAATACCTCACATCCATTGCAGATCTTTTCGTACTGTGGAATGCATGCATGCGTGGAAATGTGTAAGTTTTTTGATGGAGGGCTTGGCCAGGTGTTTTGTTTTTGTAAGGTGCCTCGGGGATTTGTGAGTGATACTGTAACATTGGGCTATGTATGTATTGTGCTCCTTGGTAATGCGGTCCTACTGAGAAAGAGGCTGTTTGGTGTGCACGATCTTCCCATCTTTCAGATATGGCGTCCGGTGACAGCGCTGTTCTGGTACCCATTGAGTCCGCAGACTGGGTTCCACTTCCTCATCAACCTGTACTTCCTGTACAATTACTCACTTCGTTTGGAAACAGGTGAGGCTTTGTGGGAGCAAACAGTTTACATGCCAGGTAAAAGATTATGTGTTGGAGATTTACTGCCATGCATATGTATGTTTTTCCCCTAATCATACAGTGAACGTAATAAATTATGATGTTGTGCCCATTATTCCTGCCAGGTTGAGAGGCTGATAACGCAATGTAGCATCAGCAGCTGAGTGCATCATAAACCCTAGGGACGATACTACGATGACTATGATTAACTCTCACCCTATTGCATGCATCGATAAATGTTAAAAAGTAACAGGTATCAGCTCTTCATAACCTGGGTGCATATGTTCAGACTTCTCTCCCCTCAGTTGGATTTACTACACACATCACGGATGTTGTGTTATTTCTCGTGCTGCTGATGGTTGCTTCACCTGTGGGCCTGAAACTGACCTTTCGTGGTCGTTTACGCGTCGGCGCCGTGAGCGTTGTGTGCCAAACTGCAAGCATAGACTACGTCAGCGACGCCCGTGCGTACTGGTCTGGGTGCTGAGAGTGACATTCTCCGGATTTTCAGGCATATTCGCCCGCAGCCCGGCTGATTACCTGTTCATGCTGCTGTTCAACTGGTTCTGCTCGGTAGTGGTCGGCCTCTTCATGAATTATCCGGTGAGCGAGCCGGCGCGCTGTGTCGCCTCAGCCGAGTCCGTGCGCACCCGACGGTCTGACCGAGTGGCAGGCGCTGGCGGCTGCTGGATGGCAGCGTGTCGCGTTGCCGTGCGCCATGACCTGGGCACACCAGGCGCATGGTTGACGCTAGTGAGCTTAGGTTTGGATTTAGCTGGTGTCATGCAGGCCCACTCTGGCTTCTCTACTACTCCTGGAATGAGGTGTGATCATCATCCATCAGTTATCTAGATATCCATTTTTACATTTAGTCTGTCCCTATCCCATGGGTACGATTCTGGGGTGAGAACCCGATCTAAGCAGTTCCTGATGCACTGCAAATGCTCAACGTGGTCCGTTTGGTCCTCTGGCGTCACCCGTCTGCTAGCGCGGCCGTTGTGACCGACCGCAGGCCATCCCAGTCAGCGACAGATAGCGAGCGCTTAAAGCGTCCTGGACCGTGCCCACCACGGATAGGTGAACCTGAAGACAGGCGCCGTAACCAACCGAGCTACGGGGAAGGACTCAATCGGACGGGTGCCTCCTTTAATGCCGTACTAGCAGCTATCGGCATGGCTATCCCACAAACGAGAAGCGAATATTTTGGATCAGCCCCGAGCCCCGGGTAGCCTGGCTGGCGTTCTTGCCTGGGATTTGATGGCCGTGTTTCGTCATCAGTTGCCCCTCCCCCCCCCCCCCCCTTTCCTCTCCGGCACCGTACCATCGTGTGACTTCTCTTGCGCCCGCCAGATGTTGATGGACCCGATGGTGATATCGGTGCTGTACGTCTGGTGCCAGCACAACCGCGACACCATCGTCAGCTTCTGGTTCGGCACACAGTTCAAGGCCATGTATCTGCCTTGGGTGCTGATGCTCTTCAACCTCATCATAGCGGGCGGCGGTAAGGGAACGCTGTGTCCAGTCTTTCCAGCCCCTTCCTCTCTCTTCCAGCTCGTAAGTAAAGAATTCCACGAGCGGGATCGTCAGTCCTGGTTAGAAACATAGGCGTCGTAGGGTCAGGACGGTCAGTGTGCCCTTAAGTCTAAATCATCCGCATCATCTGGCTATAAACATGTGCAACTATTAGATATCCGTGACCTTAAGCGTATACTTGCCCGGCGACTCGATATCACTTCGCAAGACGTGTTGGGCAAGCACGGAAATCGCCTTCTATTGTGTGTGGCAATGTGTTCGCGACATATTAATTGGAGCGATATTGGTATTTGCGCTAGATTCAGGGAATTGCCCGGTTTCGGCTCTTGGGACTCGCATGATGCGACATTCTTGATGTTTCAGTTGCTATCAGGATGTCTCTGTCAGACCGTTATGAGCTGTTATAATATCAGTCTTCAGAAGCTGAGTTGTTACACGGAATGTATGTTGGGGGTGCCGGTAGTGTAGTGGTTAACACGTCTGCGTTAACCACTGCGCGTCTGGGAAACCAGAGGTACGGGGTTCGATTCCCCGCGGTGCCCGCCATTCCTGCCAGGGTGAGAGGCAGGCGACGCCATATAGCCTCAGCAGCTGAGTGCGTCGTAAAGCCCCAATCACACACACACGGAATGTATGTTACAGGTGCCATGGAGTTGGCTGGCATTCTCATCGGACATCTCTACTTCTTCTTGGTGTTTAAATACCCTCAGGTAGGCCAATATATTTCTTGTCAAGCAAATTGCATTACTTTGAAGTATCAAAGGGCTGTTGTTCCACGCATTTCGAAATATCCTGGCAAATCAATGATTTTTAGAGCTTCAAATCTAAGCTGTCTCTCCCAGCGTAATTGCTAGTGTCGGTTTCGCCCTCCTCCCCCTAGATATGCATCCCTGGCAACATGATGATCATACATAAAATAAACAATGGTGTTTTTGGACATCGTATCGTTCCCAATGAACGTGTGCAGCGTTGCTCCTGACTATATCGTCGCTGTAGTGGACGGCGGCACCACCGCTCCTGATGCACCGCCTGTCCAAATAGACTCGATGCTCACTCAGTTTGGCATGGAGCGCTCCTGCGGTGATCTCTTGCTGTCTCTGTCACGTGGTGTGTCGTGCTCTGCCCCCCTCCGTCACGCCATGGGCCTCGTGTCGTGATCTCTGTCATGTCGTGTGGGGTTTATCATATACGTGTGCGGTATACTGAGGCACGCCAGTGCCTCAGTTACGCCGCGTGACCGTGCCTCACGCCGTCGCCGTCCGCCCGGCAGGACTTCGGCGGCCCGGCGCTGCTGCGCACACCGCAGTTCCTGTACAACTACCTACCCAACACGTCTGGCGGCATGGGCGGCTTCGGCGCGCCGCCGCAGCGGCCCGCGGCCGCCGCCGGTGCCGGCGCTGGTGCCGGAGCCGCCTTCCGGAACTGGGGAGCCGGCCATCGCCTGGGACGGCAGTGAGCCGGCCGCGAGCAGCGCCTGGTCGGCTGCCGCGGAGACCGACCGTGGGAGGTGCGGTCGCTGCTGGGCCGCCGACGAGCCCGGGACCGTCGGGCGGAGTCGGAGGCGGCGGGCCGTGCTCGGAGCGGGGGCCGGAGCTCGTGTTTGGTGGGGACGGACACGGCCGGCTGCCCGGTTCCAGCGGCTCGATCCCCGCCGTCTCGATGTCGTTTGGTGGGGACGGACACGGCCGGCTGCCCGGCTCCAGCGGCTCGATCCCCGCCGTCTCGATCCCCGCCGTCTCGATGTCGTTTGGTGGGGACGGACACGGCCGGCTGCCCGGCTCCAGCGGCTCGATCCCCGCCGTCTCGATGTCGTTTGGTGGGGACGGACACGGCCGGCTGCCCGGCTCCAGCGGCTCGATCCCCGCCGTCTCGATGTCGTTTGGTGGGGACGGACACGGCCGGCTGTCCGGCTCCAGCGGCTCGATCCCCGCCGTCTCGATGTCGTTTGGTGGGGACGGACACGGCCGGCTGTCCGGCTCCAGCGGCTCGATCCCCGCCGTCTCGATCCCCGCCGTCTCGATGCCTTTTGGTGGGGACGGACACGGCCGGCTGCCCGGCTCCAGCGGCTCGATCCCCGCCGTCTCGATGCCGTTTGGTGCGGACGGACACGGCCGGCTGCCCGGCTCCAGCGGCTCGATCCCCGCCGTCTCGATGCCGTTTGGTGGGGACGGACACGGCCGGCTGCCCGGCTCCAGCGGCTCGATCCCCGCCGTCTCGATCCCCGCCGTCTCGATGCCGTTTGGTGGGGACGGACACGGCCGGCTGCCCGGCTCCAGCGGCTCGATCCCCGCCGTCTCGATCCCCGGTGTCTCGATGCCGTTTGGTGGGGACGGACACGGCCGGCTGCCCGGCTCCAGTGGCTCGATCCCCGCCGTCTCGATGCCCGCTGTCGGCCATCGGCTGGTGTTCGCTGCCGGACGCCAGCTAGATCAGCAGCAGAGCGGGAGCGGCGCCGCGGCAGGCCGCGGCTGCTGCTGATGCGGTCCAGGGGGCCGACGTCTGCGAGGGCAGCAGCGGCCGAATGTGGGTACGTGGAGTAGGTGTGGCTGGCGTCTCGGAGTTGGGGTGGGTCGGAGCGGCGCCGACGGTGTCTCGAAGTGGTGCGGGCTCTGCTGACTGGTAGAGACAGCAAGTTGAGCAGGTGGAGGCTTTGCTCGTTGGGCCATTTCAGGGCTGCCACTTGGCGCGCCCCGTTTGTGTTTTACGTCGGCTATGCGTTGTGTACTAAGCAAATTCAAGAAGTGCGTGTGATTTGTATCCCGTCACATATTCTTGTTTGTGCTGCGGTGTGAACATAACTTTCGAAACGGGCAATACCGTATTATACGGTCAGATTGCCTCGCTGCGGGCACCTTGTGATGAATTCTACCGCGGTGCACCGATTCAATGTTCTGTGTCGTAAAACGTTGCCTGCCGATATAATATTGGTCTCATTTCGGCGACACTGAGTGGCGTTTTCATGTCGAGAATGATGGCATCAATCGATTCGGTCATTGGCGTGGTCGCACGAAAATAACTACTCCACTTAAGAAGAAGGCTGCGGTGGGCTGTCATCGTCCAAAGCATTGATATAACTGTGTGCAGTGCTTGGTGTTCTGTTTCACTTTTGTGCGGGAAGGCGTGCTTCGTGTTCTGCCTGTTATGTTTTGTATCGGAATATATGCCAAGCGGAATGTATTTGGTGTTGCTTCGGTGAACCTCACTTTCACAAAGCCATCTCCGTTATCAAGAAACATAAACCCTGGAAATACGCTCAATAATGTTGCCAGTGTGCTGCAAGCTTTCATCCAAGGAACCATCCATTTTAATCCACGTGACTGCTTGGTGGATTTCAGCGTCTGCTGGCAATGAGTGGCCGTAAGCGTAGCTAGCATTGTGTATTGGTTGGGAAGGTGCGTTGTCACTGCGGTCGTCCTCCGCTCCCTAAATCCAGGAGGGAAGAAACGGCACTGACGCACCTACGTAGAATGTGCTGGTCGCGCGTTCAGCGCGCAGTCCTCCAGACTGAGCAGGGCAGCAGAAGCCCCAACACATCGCAAGAAGTAGTTGGGATGAGATGCTGACTCGAGCACGCTCCATTGAGCTAGGTGTTTTTAATCAAACGACGCAAGTAATTTTCTTTGCAGGTGGTAACACTGACTTCATGTAAAGGAGAATACATAGAAATTAAGTTCCCACGGTGAACGATTCTACTCTCCACGTATGGTATTCACCTTTCAATGACGTTCTAAACACGCAGTACATTTCAATATGAAAAAGCAGAAAGGACCTAAAAGGCACAGTGCTTGCCTTATACCAATCACATCATTGTAAACGAGTTAAACGCAACTCACTCATATTCTTAAAGTTGATGACAATAACAGAACAAATGAAAACAGATATGATTTTCCTGACATTTATCTACCTTAGGCTAGAAACGCATATTCCTTGAATTTCGCTGCCTAGCACCCACCATCAGCTGGTGAGATAGTGATGTGGAATATAATTTTCAGATAGAGAGGCGACTCATTTTCCTTACCTCGGGGAATTGGTGGCCGCGGCGGTGTCTGGGCGCCGTCCGTTGTGAAGACAGTTGGATTTTGCAAAATGGCTCTGAATTCTGTCCGCCGGGGAATTTGCCTCTCCACCCGAAGATATCTCAGCGTATCAGCCACACAATGTGACAAAAGTGAGATATTGCTATTTGGTTAACGTCTGTCGCAAATGTCTGCCGCTTGAGCGCCGCATGGTGTCGAAAAGATGATGTAGGGATAAATTGGCATGTTTCACGCCATTTGATAGTTCCAAGTTCTGTTTAAGTTGAAAATTGCTCTTAGACGACTGTATGCCACAAAGTGACAAGTTAATGGCATGATGGGGTTGCCATTGGGTGCACTACATGCGTGTTCCCCGCTGTTGCATAAGCATGTCATCCACTCATTTATTCTTTTCGAATGAAATGGTTCAATTATTGGAGGGCAGTTTTTCTGAATGTTGTGATATGATATCACTCTAAAATGGACCTGTCAGGCAGAATATAAAAATCCATTGTATGCTGCACTTCTCCATCGCAGGCAGTGACATTATAACAGAAATTGCATCACATGTATGATGTAATACTGAGTGCTCAAAGTTTGGGGCATGGCTGCCATCAATGTCAGAGAATTATCAGCCTATTTCAGGGAATTATGATGTTCCTGAGGTTATTTGAGGCTAAACTACTCCAGGAATATTTGGTAGGCAAAAGTGATTGAATTTTTGCTGCAGTTTGACCTGGCCTGGCTTTTACATACATGAGCTTAGGGTCCAGAGTACTGGTGTCACATAGGCCTGTTGCACAGAAGATGGGTTCTTTAGACTGGCCAGGCAGTACTTAATGTGGAGCCACAGTAGATATAATTAATTAGAAAAGTGTTCCACATTTATGTGGGGTTTAAACTGAAAAAGCCATGTTGAGGACCTTTTGGTGCTGTTCACATTCCTGCTCTTCATGAAACTTAAGCCCTTCTTATTTCTGAGCTACATGCCAGATGAGGAGAGTATTTCAAAGTCACCTCAACATTTATGATGTAGCAATGTCATTCAAATCCTGCCATTCCATAAATGAGGTTGTGATCAAGGCTAAGAAAAATATAATTGTTAAGGCATTTATACCTAGTGTTGGTGAGAGTGATTTCCAGATATAATGACTATCCAGCAGCTATCCATCACTTATGCAAGATAAGATATGCAATCAAACCATAACACATCAAGGAGCATGCTATTAACATATTTGCACTATCTAAAACAGTCTTTTCTACTTTAAAACTATACCAATAGCTATAGCTAAGCTTGTTCTGTGATACCTGATGCTTTTTCCAATATCGTTCAATTATAAAACACTCCCTTTAATACTAAATAGCTCCTCAAATGAGGGACAAAATTTTGATGACTCTGCATACATCATTAATATTTGTCCTGTAGAAAACATGATGTTAGCCATGCAACACGCGAGTTATCCGATCTCAACAGCAGAGTATTAAACCAAGCATAGTTATGCAAGCTTTCAGTGGTTATACCAGGCACACAGTTCAATTATACACCAATGTATGACAAGTTAGTTCTCAGTTTGGCCACCAATATACCAATGCTTTCCCATGTTAGAAGGCAATTTAGCCTTGATCCCACCTTCCATGGAGCTGGGAGGCAGAGGGCCTTAATAGGGTTTAAGTTTATGTTTTACCCTGACCCAATATCCAGAGGTGCAGACCCCTTCCTGTCAGGTTCAGGGCAAGCTTTGGCCCAGCCCATAGTCCAGCAGTGCCCAAGCCCAAGTCTGCAAATTAGGTTAGTTAGCACTCATGTTTTCTTATATATTTTTAATTTACTATTTTCATGACAAACTTTTTTACCATTCACACATATTCTCTTGTTTATTGTTTTTCTTTTACAACCAGCTTGGCCCTGTTTGATTTGGCTGGTGGCTAATGATGACTAATTTCATGAGATTAGGTTTATAGTAACTGGGTGACAACATACCAGCAATATGGTGGCCTGGAAAAGGCTGGACAGCAAAAAAAAATATAGTTGGCCGTGACAAATATTATTTTCAACATAATCATTGCTTCCCTAATGATGGATTTTCAACATAATTGTTGCATGTCTAATGATGGTCTGCCACCATGGTTATTGCAGGCAGATTGTGTATCTGGATATAGATTGCCAGCTTGTGGTGGTAATTACAATAAATTCCAACATTTCTGAACTGGAAATCAAAGTGCCCAACAAAACATTGGTAACTCATGCAAGGAAATCTTAGGTGTCAAGGCATTTGCTAAGTTGTGTATGCCAATATTTATTATGAGTGGCTCTGAAAGTAGTTGAGTTGGTAGGTTTGGCACCTTCCATGACTTTGTGAAAGTATTGGCATTATCTTAATGCATTTCATTGTTGAAAATAGCCTGCAGTCAAGAAGAATATAAAACATGTCATGCAGGTCCAGTGTGAGACAAACAAGGGATACTGTTGATGCGTGCTTTTGCCTATGAGTTATCAGTCATTGCAGTTGGTTGGCAGCATGTTGTTTCATTTCTACCCATTGCTGATACAGGCTGAAAAAATGATGCACTGAAACATTTAGGTCATTTGAAGTATTTGTGCACTCATCATTTTCCTCCTGTAAGATTGCAACCATCATGTGCTCACGAGTTCATAACCACAGGTTGTGTATTGTACGTACATGATCCTGCCTAGTGTCATTGCTTTTTTGTGTCACCAAAAGAAATATGTGGTACCAAATTGTCTCAGCTAAAAAAGCTGCCTCAATTTGTCACAACCAGCAGCATGCCTGGTGCTGGGTGGCAGCCTTCACAAGCGTCACACACGTCTTCCTCCGTTGCAGTGATGCCGGACCCGTTCGAGCACGCGACCGGTTTCGAGAAGCAGGAGATGCTCGCCCGGCGGGCGGGTAACAATGTGAGTTGGGCAGGTGGTGTGCGAGTGGTCGGCATTGGCCGTCGCCTGTGTGCGCGTGTTGCTCTGCTTCCTGCAACGCCACCTTACGTGCTCACCCCAGCTTGCTTAACAATGCTTGGTTGGTGTGCTGGGTCGGGTCACATGCGAGACGCGTTCGTTGATTTATGTGCGCCGCCGTCTCTGGAAAGATGCTAGTTGCAAAGTACGTTTCTGTTCACGTCAAATGTTGTTGCTGTTGTCCTCATCGCCCGTGAGTACCACGCGGCTGGCGGTCACTCCGGCCATTATGCACCCCGCCCCCCCCCCCCCCTCGCCGCCACCGCCGCCACCGCCGCCACCGGCCCGATGATTAACCATGGTCCGTTGCCCGACAGGACCCGTTCGACATGGGCCTCTACTACCGCGGCGCCGGCACCAAGGACAACCCGAACCTGATCCCGTCGCGGTTCGAGTGCCGCATCGTCGGCTGCGTGTGTGAGGAGGACGCCACCTGCGTCAACTACATGTGGCTGAAGGCCGGCGAGCCCAAGCGCTGCGAGTGCGGTCACTGGTTCAAGCTGGTGGAGGGCAAGCCGCTGCCGGCGCTGGAGTAGCGGCGGCTGCGGTGGCAGCGTGTCCGGGAGGAGGCGCCGCGCGGCCCGGGATCCCCCGGACCCGCGGCCACTGTGAGGTGTACACAAGCGAGACATGTGGTGTGAACGAAATATAGTCTTATTGCGTGTAGCTGGCGGTGGCCCGGCTGTCGGCGACTTGTGTAGCCGGCGCAGCCGAGCACGTGTTCAGCAGAGCCGTGGTGTGAGTGTCACCGGGAATACACGATGATCGGCTCTTGTACGTGATGGTATGGCACGAACAAGGATAAAAGACAAGCTACGGATACCAAGCTGTGAATACTACATAAGACCACTGTCAAGCATGCAGAGAAAGTGGATGCGAGAAACGACCGTTTTTCTAATGGCTTCGGATTCGGTGATGTCATTCCCACAAGCTTAGGCTTTGCACCATTTTCCACGGCTTGCCCCGGTTTCGGCTTTGTGCAAATTGAAACGTTTGGCTTTGGTTGTCATTTTTTAAATTGCAGCTTCGGCGTCAGGGCGCAGGGGCGTCGATCCGGCATTTGCCGCAATAACGGATAATCCAACATATATCATGACTGATGATCCGACATCTTCCTTAACGACTGGTAATGCAACATTTTCCGTAATGACAATCATATATTTGTTTTTAAAAATTTTAACCGAACCTCTTGAGTGGATGGATTTCTGGTATCAGCGCGTACGTTGAGCAGCGCTTGTTTTGTGGGCTCTGACCACCACTCGATCGCGCAATTCCAGGGCAAAGGCAGGCTTAGGTGGCGAACGTTTAACGTGCCGCAATGTTCGGTGCGGTCCGTCCTGCCCTCCAACGCCAACTGACCTTAAGCCCGGCCGCTGCCGCTGGTCGCAGGCCATCTCTGTCGAGGGCAAATAGCGAGCGCCTAAAGGGATTACAACCAGTCCCGCCGCGGGTGAGTCGATTGAAATGCAGAGGCTCTAACCAACTGAGTCACCGGGACAAACATGTTGCATAGCATCTGCTAATCGGACGACGGTTTGCATAACGACAAGAGTTCTTATGCGGCCAATATAGAACGCTTTCGATATATCAGGAGGCACTGGCTGAACGACTTTAACAAGCGAACACTGCGTTACGCCTGAACTTGACGTATAAAGCCGTGTCCATGGTTACTTATGACCACGTCCCCGCTGGTGAACACGGGCATATCTTGAACTTGTTCTTGCCAACCAACTCTTGCTTGATAGCGTGGTTTAACCAGCAACTCCTGGCATACTGATTGCCGAGCTCCAATGGTTTGGTGCTCGTATAGAAATACCCATCCGTAAAAGTTACCCTTGTCTTAATCAGTTCGTCGGCCTTGGCATTTCATGATCTTATAGTTTTAGCAGATGCAATAATGGTTTTATTTTCGTAAAACCGCGTACACTAGATCCGAGTTCGGCTTCGACTTCGTGATTTCAAAATGATGCGTTCGGCTTTGGCTTCGCGTTTCCAAGTTCGAAGCCGCTGACCGTGGCTTCCGCTTCGGGATTTCAAAGTTCAAGCTCGCTGGCTTGGGGTTCGACCCGTTTTAAAAACACACTGGCTTCCGCAACGTAACTCCAAAGTTCAAAGCTAACGGCTAAGGCTTCGACTTCGGCTTCATGTCCTTGTTCTAGATACACATTCGGTTTCGAAACCGCCAGAGCCCCGGCTTTGTCCCCCTGCCAGACCAGCACGCATCTCTAATTTCAGCACGTTTTCCCGATGATGATATCTGTGCTCGCTAGAGGCCCCATACGATATTCCTTCACACCATCCCTTGAAGCGCAGGGTGTATTATGAAAACCATCCGTCAGGTACGAAGGGTGAGCAGTGAGCATCGCCGGCGGCGGCCGTCACTGTGGCGTGCCCAGCACTGTGATGCGCTTCTCCAGCCGCCGGCTGGGGAACAGCAGCTGCCTCGTGGCGAGCTCCAGCTGGTCGAGCGCCGTCTGTGTGTGGTGCAGCAGGGCCGGGTCATGCTCCCGCCGCAGCAGCGCCTTCAGACGCCGGTACAGCGCCGGCAGCAGCTCCTCCAGCACCTGTCGCCGCGGCACGCCTGCGTTAGCTGACGGATGGGAGGTGGCCGCTATCAGCGGCCCCTATAGCTATAAGATATATATATATATATATATATATATATATATATATATATATATATATGTAAGCATGCACTGCCTGGTCCGTTTTTAATCTCCTAGGATTTGAAGGAGGACGCTTCATCTCTGAGGATGATCTGAAGAAAATAAAGCATGCTAAAACGGAAAGCGGCCGGATGCCCCGGCGTTTATTTTTGTTATGATAAGCGCTCGCCATATACTATTTTGCACGGGTAAGACTCACTTTCATTCGGTGCTCATCCCATCGCATCCAAAAGTTCCAACCAATCACATTCAGACACGTGGCCACCGCAGACGTTACGCGCGACCCGCTAGCCAATCAGAGCCTTTCCCGCCCGCGTCATCGCTGACAATGCCATAATTGAACCACACAGAACGGAATGTGCCTCAAACTAATTGATTTAAGACCCGCCCACGAGATGGTTTTTAGCCAAGGCCAGGAATATGTTGCGAGCGACTGTAGCTGTTCTGCGATCTGGTTACATCAACTGAAGCCCCCTTTCGAAGAGAAGACATATTCCGTCAGTGGAAAGCTTGCGTCCCGCTCCGGGCAAATCACAGAATGTGTTGAGGGCTAACCTCATGGCACCACTCATCGCTCCCTTTCTAAAGCATAACGTAATTTTAACCTGACTTTCGAAACATCGATATGTTGCGCACATCGAACGCACATGGTGCGCTATGGCTTCCTCTCACCACAAGTACAGCTCGAGTCATAATACTCTCAGGGCCCCAGCCTCCCATACTGCGGTGCGAAAGGAGCAGACGACAGGCGACTGAAAATCGTGATGAACGTCTCCGAAAAGGCTTTGACATCGCCTTCCACAGGAACAGGCCAATTGTGAACAAAAGATAGGAACCCTGCCACATTTACGGGGATATACCTGCGACCGTACCTGCGATAAGAACATCACATCTCCATCCACAACCCACAGCAGTGAACAGCGTACGGATCAAGGTAATCGGTGTATGTGACCACTTTCATCAGTACAAGTTCCAGTGTGCACTGCCAAACACTGCTCACTCTCGCTGCCAAAGCCCGCGCCTGCCCAGTCCCCATGCGGAGTCCGTCTGTTACTACCTTGAGGGCGTCTACGCCGAGTCCGGTGAGCAGCTGCGCGAGCACGAGGACGGCGGCGCGGCGCACCTCCAGAGCCGGGTCCGTGTCCAGCAGAGCTGACAGGCAGCTGAAGATCTGAGGCGGCGGCACATCACGCGCGCGTCACAGCATTGCTGAGTGGCCACACAACGCCTAGCACCATAGGCCATGAGCTGCTTACGACATAGGCGAAACGATTGGGCCCGCGCCTCCGCAAATCATCGAGCGCGGGGACCAGGGGAGCACCGCACGCGCTTAGCACAGTCACGCACTTATTTGTTAGAAGCACGTCACCTTGACACACGAGCTGACGCGCTGGGTTGGCGAAGCACCCCTCAACGCACCTCGATCACCAGCGGCAGAGGTTTGCGTCACAACTGCGACCCATTATAGCGACAGACGCGTAAGGTACGCATATACGTGGGTGTTTCACAACAGCGAATGTGGCACGGTTAGCATCCCACATAAGGATAGCGGCCCGGCGACTAGTGTTACCTCGACGCTTGTCACGACTGGCGACGATGCCAACATATGTCAGAACGCAAGCTTCGGGCCAGGTTTGCCGCGTGAACAGCCTATAAAAAACCGGGACCCGCTTCACAAGCTAAAATTGACACCACTCACAGCCTTTGAGTACTTTTGAAACGGAATAGCCGGTTGCGGTTCCTAAAAAAATGGTAAATGGTTCCCAAGCAGAAGCCTCGCGACCTTGCTAAGTATAACTTGTAACCTACTACATCCCTGGGGATTTACAGCAAACACACAGCAAACATATAACGCGTTGCCCAGCCCTTTCGCATAGGAATATTGCAGGATATTCCCGTACAATGTAGCGCCACGACACGGCCACCCCGTGCCGGCATGATCCCCATTGTCCAGGTGCCAACCGACCATTCTGACCAAACATTAAGCGTCGTTTCTGGGCTAGCCCTCCCCCCCCCCCCCACTCCTTTCGTTTAGCCCCCCTCCCCACATCCTTGTGGCCAAACCTCTCCCACTCTATAAGCTGAGCCACATGAATCGCCGGTACATGACTTCCGGTTTGAATTATCAGACCTACTTCGGCGAGCTGGTTGGACACTACCACATTTTTCACACCGCTTCAAATCTTTACACACCAGCGTCTAACTATTTCATGTCATACTAACTGTTGACGAATGACGGAGAATACGCGGAATGTTGACGAATGACGGAGACTACGCGGAATGGCAAGGGCGTTTCGGTACATTCAGTCATTTCCTGCACTGACTCACAGCGTGTTGATTGCTGAGCTACACCCATGACGCCTGGCGTAACACTCATTAAGCTCCAATGACCCCAGGACCATGTGTCTTAAAAAACCCACAGCAAGTCCTGTGAAGGACCGCTGTGCGAAATGTTTCCCGACCAACTCCGCCGTTGTCAGCATCACATCACATCACACGTCACAGACTGTCACGCAACACCACACCGTACATCACGAACCTCCAACCTCCACGAGCCGGCGGAGCCTTTCACACGCTCCACCCCGCACTGGCAAGACCGCGTGCGGAATGCCGCCGCAGCACCCCCCTCCCCGTGCACAGTACCGGCCAGCGACCGGCAAGACCTGCGGGACGCCGCCACGGCAACCCACCCACCTCGTGCACGGCGCCGGCCAGCGAGAAACGCAGCAGGCGGCACACCTCGGCCAGGCTGGAGAGGCTGGAGGCGCGCAGCAGGTGGTCGCCATCCCGGCAGCCGGCCAGGAAGGTGCCGAGCAGCCGCTCCCGGTACCGGGGCGCCATGTCGCCTGGGGACACGTCGGCAGGTCACGGGGACACGTCGGCAGGTCACGGGGCGCGTCGACAGGTCACGGAGCCGCCGGCGCCGGGCTCGCAGCCCTCCGCACCGGACGAGGACCGCCGTCTGACCCGCCGGCGACTGCCGCCGGGCGGCTGTCGGCGTGGCCACGATGGGTTCGCTGCAGGATGTGCTAGACATGGGTAAGGGCGCGGCCTGCGGCTATTTAAGTGTACCCCGCAGTGAGTGCACGGGACTATACATCATCGTACATGCCAACAGAAAGGGCATCTGGGTCACCTACGGCACACAGGAAGTCAATTATTCTGACCATTCCACTCACAAGAGGGTCAAGACAGGCACAGACATCACCATTTATAAGACTTACGTCGCCGCCCACGGATCTCCCGATGCCATGTCAATTCCAAATTCCAACCGCAAGAGCTCGCCGTGCCGTTCAAAACTTTACCGACATGCGTGCCGCGAACATTTGGAGATGATGATCCTCACTGAAGTTTACGAGCCAAAGCCTACGTTACTAGGCTTCGACGTAAGTGGAATTCGTGCATTAACATATCATTGCACATACAAATAGGTACCTACTCCACGCTCTCATACGATTTGCCACGACAGTAATTCAGTCCACTGTACAAGTGCTTAGGCCGCAAGAGGATAGAGACGAGGGAATACTTCTTCACGACAATGTTGCGCGAAAATTGGTTTTGCGATCCAAAAAGAACGTGCCAAATATACCGAAAATGAATTCATCAGCTCACAAACCACTGCAACATCAACGCTGGCAAGCCGCAACATCCACAAAATTGTCTTCCTTTCCTCCGATCTTTTCCGCGACAGCCCATTCCTAAGACGCGTCGACTCCAGCTTGCCTTCCACACCTGCCCTCGACCACCCGCTCACCGCCGGTACCCCGGCCCAGTGCGCGTCTCACCGAGGTTGCGGACCATCAGCACGATGGCCTCGCCGAGCTTGAGCCGGGTGTCTGGGTCGCGCTCGGCGGCCGTGTACTGCTGGCACAGGCCGGCCACCACCTGGTCCGTGCAGAGGTCGGCCAGGCACGCCAGGCCGCGCACCGCCGCCAGGTACACGTAAGAGTCGTCGTCGGACAGCTTCTCCTGCGGCGCCAGCGCCAGGCGGCCGTCAGAGCGCGCCGGCGTCACCGGCGCAGCCACAGAGGTTCGCCGGCGCATCGCGTTCTCCGTGTGCATGTGTGTGCCGTGCGGGCGGGTCGTTGGGTGTGGTACTGTACGCTCGGCCCACAAAGTATGCGCGCGTTGTCTGTGTGTGTGCGGGACGTTCAGCCAGATAACGCAGCACCATTCAGCTCGTCGGACTGGTATCGGCACGAACAAAAGAACGTTCAACTGGAATGTCCAGTTTGTCATGTGCTAACCTTACAAATCAAAGAGCGGGTGATCGCGGCCAGGCGTGCCGCGATCCAACGACCACAAAACGCAAGTGCCAAATGATCACATTTCACGCTCGGAATCCGTCAACCCGCATGCGCTTCATTTGAACCGAAACAGCCCCTTACCGGCGCCGGGCCTCTTGACTCCACTCAATGATCAGTGCCCATCCGAACACGCCCCTCACGCTCGTCCGTGCCGCCGTACGTACCTGGAACACGTGCAGCAGCTGGCGACGGTGGCGCCACGTCTCCGGGTCTCGGCGCTCCAACAGCTGGCTGAGCGCGATTAGCGCGTGCGCGCGCACCGGCAACAACGGGTCCACCAGGTCGTACATGGCGCGCTGGTAGGTCAGCTCGGCGACCGGCGGCGGTTCGCGTTCCGGCTCGCTCTGGGCAGAGCCCGGCGGCGGCGGCGCATCAGGGACAGCACGAGGCTCCGCTCGGGACTGCGGGCCGGGGACACCCGGCGACGGCGGCGGCCCGCTTTCCCGCGTCCGAGCAAAACATAACCGATCGTCGAGACCGGTGAGGGGCGTCGGCGGCTCTGCTCGGCTCTGGTCGCCGCCGGGCCGGCCCTGCTGGCCCGTCTCGGCCGTGCGCGGATCGGCCGCCCCGCACCGCGCACCGTACCGCTCGGCCGTCACCGTGTGCCGGTCCACCACGCCGTTGGTGAGGATGAGCTCGCGCACGTCGGCGGCCATGTCTCGCACGCGCTCGGCGCCGGCCTCTGCAGTCAGCCGCTCGAGCGTCGGTAGGAGACGGCGCGCAGCCGCCCACACGGCCGACGTGCTGGCCTCGCCGGCCAGCGCGCCCGCCAGCACGCCCAGCGCCAGGCACGCCGTCTCCTCACGCAACAAGCCCGGCTCAGCCGCCTCCGCCGCGAACGCGTCGAGCAGCGCACCGATCACGGGCAGCAGGCGGTCGACGTCCTGCAGCCCACGCTGCGCCTGCTCCGACTCGGCCAACGCGGCCAGCGTGCGCAGCGTCAGCAGGCCGCGGCGGAAGGCGAGGCGCCGCGCGCCGCGTTCCTGCTCCCAGGCGCGCAGCGCGTCGCCGGCCGACAGCGGTGGCGCCACGCCCACGGCAGCCAGGTCCAGCGTCATCACGTCCCGCATGCGCTCCAGAAGCGCGGCCAGCACGTCGGCGACGAGGTCCGGCGCGTCTACGCCGCCGAGCAGCGCCGCAAACGCCGCCGCCGCGGCGTCGTCGCTGATCAGCCAGTTGTCGGCCTCGTCCGGCGGCACGGGCTCGGTTCTGACGCCGCCCTCGTCGCCGGCGACGAAGCGTCGGCAGCTATCCAGCTCGTGCCCCAGCAGCACCGCGTCCAGCACGTCCGGACCGCGGCCTAGTCGGCGCAGCAGCCGCTCCAGCAGCTCGCGACAGGGCGTGCGCAGATGACTGACACCGCCGTGCACGGCCGCGAACAACTGGAACAGGGCAGCGCCGTACGGCCGCAGGCCGTCCAGGCAGTCGCTGTCCGGCTCCAGGCCGGCCACAAGCAGCTGCCAGGCGGCCGTCACGCCGTCAGTGACGTCACACTCTGACGGTAGGGTGGGCGTGACGTCAGACCCAGTGGACCCGCCTGGCTCGGCGGCCGTCAGTGGCCCGAGCAGCGGCTGCAGGATGCCGGACCGCACGCAGCCGCGGGCGGCCGGCGAGTCCCACAGACAGTTGGTGAGCGCGCCAGCCACGCGCAGTGTGGTGACGCGCACCTCCGCGCGGGGGATCCGCAGCAGGGAGAGCACCTGCCAACACGGCGCGAGTTGACTCGGAAAATCAGTAAAGACAAGGTAGGACATGAACTTAGGCACACGGCCATCAACGGACGCTGGCGAGAAATTACGAGGTGTGTGGGCAATATCAAACGCAACTTTGATAATCTCAAGCGCATGCCATTAAACAGAAGCTTACAAGTGACATACAGTGCACCTGTTTACCATGTAATCTCAGTTAACAAAGTAAACGCAGATAGATGGGCAACGTTAAATATGTCACATTACGTACACGTGCATATCACACGACACACGAAAGAACAAGTCAATGAATGGGTCGATGGAGATCATCACTGCGAAAAGCACAGGTGTACTAAATAAGCTTAGACACAGTAAACAGGCAGCTTTATACGGTAATAAGAGCTTTAGATACGGTAAACAGGACTATTGATGCCGCTCACCTCTGCAGCCAGATGTGTAAAATATTCCTCATTATTGAAATCGGGATGAGGCGAGACCAACAACTCTGCTGCCGCCTGAAACAGAACGTGGCGATCGTGCACTAAGCAGTGAGAACACAGCGACCCAACAGTTTATTAGCCCATAGATGTCTGGAATAAAAGACGGCAGTGATGACAGTGCGTCGGACCCCATGGCAGATCATTGCATTGCTTCTGTCTGTCTGAACGCAATCGTCTCTATCACTTAGAATGAGACTTTCCGCCGGCGTTAGCAGCTGCGATGGGAGTGGCACCTTTGGAGGTGTCATCCAGAAATCAGGGTGGAGTTGTCTACTAATGCGTGATTTAACAATCCAAAAGAAAACGAAGGAAGGCAACAAGACAACAGTCATTGATGTTCATGGCCGGTCTTGAATAGGCCCACTAAAGGCAGAAACAAGACGTCTATCCAATCAGCCCAGCCATTTTGAGCATGAGTACATACAAAGCACCAAACATTGTAGCAAAAATCGCCTACACGCGGACAACCACAAACTACGGTCTCGCTGAGCTAGCTGCTGCACCGGCACAGCGTCTCTGATGGTCCACGGGCCGCGCGCCGGGTGCCGTGTGCCGCGGGCCGCGGGCCGCGGGCCGCGTGTCGCGTGCCGCAGGCCGGGCGCCGTGGGCCGGGTGCCGCGGGCAAGGTGCCGGGGGCCAGGGTGCCGAGGGCCAGGGTGCCGAGGGCCAGAGTGCCACAGGCCGGGCGCCGTGGGCAGGGTGCCGCGGGCAAGGTGCCGGGGGCCAGGGTGCCGAGGGCCAGGGTGCCGAGGGCCGGGGCGCCGCGGGCCGGGGCGCCGCGGGCCGGAGCGCACCTGCAGGCGTGGCAGCTCGACATCGTCCAGCCGGTCCTGGCCCCAGAACTGGAGCAGACCGTCGATGACGCGCGCCAGGCCGCCCGGCCGGCGCACGTACTGGAACACCCACCAGGTGGTGCGCTCGTGCATCCAGCGGCGCGGTGGGCGCTGCGGGTACCGACGCCGCGTGAGACGTGAGCACACAGACACGGACAGATGCTCCTAATTAAGGTGCATCATATCGCGTCGACGCACCGCGACACGCTTCCAAAGGGATCGGACAAGATGATCGCTGGCCTGATCTGACAAGAAATGTACACATGTAATCTCCATATCCAACTAACATTTTGGTATAGCGTACGTTAACACGCTCGTGATTTAAAAGATGGTCACCTACGACCTATATGACCATGCAGCAGAAGAAACTGGCCAAAAAGCAGACCTGTCTACGGAAGCATGTCACAATATAAAAACATAAAAAACAAAGAGTCATCGGTCAACAAAAGGCTCGGCACGAGGCAACAGCAGACACTGTCATCTCTGCCTCCGGCACCGGCGTCGGCCGGGCCGGCGCCGCGTACCGCTTCAGCAGCGCAGCGCTGCAGCAGCAACAGCTCGCGGACGGCCCTGCTGTCGGGCACGCGCGCCAGCAGCGCCGGCAGCTGCGGCGCCAGGCGCTGGCGCTGGCGCAGCAGCCCGCTGCGTCGCTGCTCCGTCATGCCGCGGCTGCCCGGCTGGGCCAGCGGCGCTGCCGTGACCAGCAGCAGCAGCGCCAGCAGGTCACCCAGGTGCGCGCCCAGCACGGCGTCCGCCAGCGCCGGCTCCTCGGTCAGCGAGAGCAGACGCTCCAGCGCCAGCACCGCGTGATCACGACGCTGAAGCGGCGCGGCGTTAGGAGTGGCGTGAGGCGGGGGGGGGGGGGGGGGGGGTCGGCTAACGCCACCGTGCGGCTTGGCAACGACTGCATGACATTATTGGACGAAATCGTGCTATTTCATTTGCATATAGTGCAGTGATGCTCTTCAAATTGTTTGCTCAAAAATTGACTGAAGAAAAGACGTGTGTGATCGTAGATAATGGAGAGAGTTCGGGGATGTGCTGAGGGCATGAGATCATATAGGAGTTCAGCTCACGCTATCCACGTTAACCAGGACATGGGCTACACAAGCAAGCTACGATTGTTATCAACACAGTCATTCTTCACACAGGACAGCTGTCACCTACACCAGTATTTTTCCTTTGTTCAGGCTTGTTCTTAGCATAATATGTGAACATCTTCACAACTCCAAGCAGAGAATGGCTGAGCGAGCGACCGAGACAGCGAGCCACCCGACCTACCCCAAACCAGTGCCAAGCCTTGACTCCTCTGCTGATTCAACCTGCCTCATTTTTTTAAAGTTGGGTGACAACCGCCATAGACACTGGTGATTGAGCTGCCAGTTGTAAGAATCCTCAACAGCACAGAACACCCCACCGTCGCCCACGCCTGCACACTCACCTGGTACTGGTCGGCGGCGCGTGCGCTGGCCGCCCTCACGGCGCCGGAGAATTCGGAGCGCCGCTCGAGCGGTACGCCGGCGCCGGCCGGCAGCGCCGGCAGCACCGCCAGCACCACCGCGAACTGGACGCCACGCGCCGCCACCCGCCGGCGCGCCACGCTCAGCGCGCCGGCGGGTGGCGCGCCTGCTGGCGCCGGCGGCTGCGGCCCGGCGCGCGCGGCCGCCAGCGCGCGACGCAGGCACTCCAGCAGGGCCAGCACAGTCAGGGAAAATCTGAAACTACAGGGACTTGTGGTGAGGCTGGAGAAAAGAGGCAGATAGGAAGGAGGGGTCCATCACTTATGCCAGTGGTGATGGCTTCATCATGAGAGCCCTTAATTCAAGCCAAAGCATATCTTATGCCACAGCCAACTGAGACCAGCACATCACAGCATACAGAATAGCAAATGTTCAGCACTTTTCAAGTAACTGAAAACCATGTTGGATGACAAGGCAGCAATACAAGTTTCAACTTACTTGGGATTACTTTCCTCTTGTGACTGGAAATCATCTGATCCTAATAGGTGCTCCAATGACTCCTTGAGCACTTTGTTTCTTTCTAGCTGAATCCAGCTGGTCAGTAATGCCAGTCTGTGCTCCAGAGCATCTTGGTATTCTGGCTTCTCTCCTGGACAACAGATCATGCAAGAAGTGATGTGCATGTATGTACAGCACATGTGCACCAAGCATGGCATGTTAGCCTGCAAAACATGCTAGCAGAACTACAGAGACTACCTTGAATTATTATTTTAAGCCATGAATACCACAGAACATAAGAATATTACAAAATCATGCCCCACAACAATTTGATTCAAACAGCAATGACACATGATGTTCTACATTTCCATGCATTACCTTCATATAAGATAGATGTCAACTTGTCCAAAGCTTCACAACAATTCTCAGCAGAAGTGGCCTCCATGGTCAGCCCTGAAACACACCACAACATGTTGTGCATCTTTGACACTGTCAGGTACAAGTAATAAACAGAGTCCTGCTTGTTCATTGCTGTCTTAAGTTTAATGATGCATTCTAGCAAAAACAGTCCACATGATCATCCTGGAACTCCACCATGAAATGTTATGCAGCTTTAATGATACTGAGCATAAGCAAAAAGCAGGCACTTGTACAGTTTGCAGCCAGTCTGGAAAATCAAAAACTGTTATCCTTTAGTCTCATTGTAAATTGTTAAAATCTTTAGGTATAAAAATGAAACCAAGAGTCTGGTGCACATAAGAGTGGGGTGCAGTGCATCCATGTCACAAAGGTGTCCAGCATAGATGGTTGATTTTTTCAGCCTAGATTCTTATCCAGGGACATAGCCACCTTTGTAACTGGTGAGATCATTCAAATTTGAAAGTATTCCTCTGCTTATAAAGAAAATCGAATTTAGCACAAAATGAGTTGTTTTTCTCTTACAAATTTGATCCAAGTCCTTTGAATGGATAGATTTCTGGGATCAGCACTCCCATTAAGCAGTGCTTGTGGTGTGAGCCCTGACCCCTACCATCCGATCACGCAATTCCAGGCAACAGCAGAATTTCGTGGCGGAAGCTTAACGTGCCGCAATGCTCGGCACGGTCCGTCCTGCCCTCTGGCGTCAACTGACCTTTTTAGTGCGACCGCTGCCACCGGCCGCAGGCCATGCCTGTCAAGGACAAATAGCGCCTAAAGCGACTCGAACCCACCACGCCACGGGTGGGTGAATCGGAAGGCAGGCGCTCTAACCAACTGAGCCACCAGGACGGAGTTGGAACACCAAGCCGCTCAACACAAAACGATATTGCCTGATGAGGGTGATATTCTAACAGTGATTCCTCTTAGAGCTTTTAACTACTGCTCCAGCTATTTCTTAACAGCTTTAACTCAAATCTGTCGTCATCACGCCCTGAATATCACCGTCTGACATTCCACAGATACCACAAGTGCATACACATCCCAACCACTACACAACGTTGCGTTTCAACTACCGTTTACCCATACGAGAACATCATCTCACGATTGCAATATTACCACCATGCATTGTCTTGGAGGCATGTTTTGACTCATCTGCGCAGGTTTGGGAGTGTATCGGTCTAACACGGGGCGACTAAATGGTGCATGCATGTGCACGCTCGGGCGCATCGATGCCGATAGGAGCGTGCTCGAAAAAAATAAGGTGACACCAACAACATTTGAAACTTCATATGTCACTTAAATCATAAATATGTTGTGTCATGATACAATAGCAAGTGGATGACCCTTACAAATATTTAGGAAAGGGCTCTTCTACCAAGTCTGCCCACTTAAGGACGCATAGAGGTAAAACAGTACGATGATTTTGGTTTCATTGTCTTCATCATCCGTGATTTTCAACTTCAGCGTGACGCCACTAGCGCCAAGACTTTGATTCACGGCGGGCTGCTAGACGCCCGGTGCAATGTTGAGGGGCAACGGACGGGCCAGCGCCGAGGATTTTCGGTTCGGGGGAGGGCAGCTTTTGCAGAAAATGGGCCCTTGACAAAAAAGTGCCTGCTACAGACTGCAATATTACAAAGTGTACACCTATGTTGTTTCTGTTGTTCTCGTTTCCGCACGTATAACCACTCGCTTATAACCGAACTCAAAATAGTGCATACTAAGCATTGCAGCCGTATTTCCAGCTCGGTCCAGTTATATTGAGAATCTTAATTGGTTTCAACGACCCAGACGATAGATGCATGCGATAAAACACAAAAAGCACCAGGTTCACAAAACACCGAGGTGAATGTCCGATTTGAAAGCAATTTTCAGCCAACATCGCATTCTACTCCCGCTTGCATGCATGCAACTTCCATCCAGTGTTGCAGAATCTACTGACATAACACTGCATCAGTCACACATCACGGCAGGCTGATCCATGACACCGCGACAAACACCTGTCTGTCGAAGTTCCCCTTGTGACGCGTGTCCACCAAGGAACACTCGGGGACGTGTGAATCCAACCTAGCGACCACGATATCGACCGCCTGAAGGCTGGTCAGGTCAGGTGGAAAGGTCCTTGGTTAAGGTGTGGGCCCTCACCCCTCAGTTGGTCTGAGAAGAGAGGCCCTCGGTCAGCCTGACAATAGTCTTTACCCCGATCCAGAAGGATTTCGTTCGGTCTGACCAACGGGTCCCCGTTCGAACTGAGAAACTCTTGGCTAGTCCTAAGGTAGCAGTTTGCCCTAGGACCCCTGGCTTGACCCAATGGATCTCGGTCGTCCTTAGATATCTCCCGGTCGCGCGGAGGAGACCCTTAGCTACCTAATTGGGCCATGGCTGTTTGGGTGACACAGTGCCCCTGTGCAATCCTTCGGGTGCTCTGGGGCCTCCAAAACCGCCGAACAGGGACCCGGCGGTGGTGGTGGGATCCCATGATGGAGCCGAGGGCCTAGTGGCGGTGGGCCCGGTGAACCGCCGGACAGGGTCCGGTAGTCCCTTCAACGCTTGTGAGTCGATGACCCAAAGTGGCATGACTCCGTGTCCCCTCAGGATCCGCCGCTGCCCGGCTGGGCCTAGGAGGCGCTCCACCGTCCTGAGGGCCCCAGTCAGTCGCCAGCCTAAGAAGACCTTCATCAGAGGTTAGCAGGCTGTTCTAGCACGACAGGGTCCTCATTCAACTTAAAAGGGGCCGCACGTGGTCTAAGAAGACCTTTGAATAGCCTGAGATAGTCCCGGAACAGACTGAGTAAAACCTTCAGTTCGGCCACCCGCCAGGCCCCAGCTCGCAGCTGGGGGGGGGGGGGGGGGGGGAGGGGAGGCAGGTCTCCGCTTTGCCCCCCGCCCCTGTGGCGCCGGCTCTGCAACCAGAACATCGAAATATTCGTACAGAAAATAAGAATGCCGCTTGCATAATGTGCATACCACCAACGGGCTGGTAACGGATTAATTTATGGCGAACATGATTGTGTTTTGCAAGCCCATGCGGCGAACCTTACACATGGAATGGTATGAGAAGTGAAAGGTATGCTTACCAGACTAATTCGCAATATGGCGGCATGTACATCGGCGTGTCTTCGCACCCAGTCCCAAACGAACAAACCGTCAGTGGCAACTGTATTCATTCAGCGAGCAGATCGCGTAAAACTTAACGATGATGATGACGATGATGATGTGCGTGGTAGCCGTAAGTTCAAAGCCACCACAAAGCGCTTTGATCTCAAATGACCTTGTGCCAGTGGTTGTGCCTCCGTCGTTAGTCCGAGTGGCGAGCGTGGCCAGCCTGCTGTCTGCGGCAGTACAGACCCCCGTACTCGGTCCGTACCTGTGTGCGCAGCCAGCAGTGCTCGGTCCCTACCTACCTGCCTAGTCACGAGTGTCAAGCTACGCATGTTTCGTATGTTGTACGTATGTTGAGCAGGTTCTCTCTCCCCAACATCAGGCCACACTTTGCCTCAGTTTAGTGGCTCTTAGCCTTAGGTCTCCCTAGATAGCCAGGAGTCTCCCTCCCTCTGTTTGTCGCCGCCCATCCATGTCTGACCCACAACACCACAAAGCCCGCGCAAGCATTAAAACAAAGGGAACCAGATCCCTCAAATCTCCGCTTTTGGCTAACGCACATGAGGATTGGATATACCGCTGTGAAGGCATCGGTTTATTTCCGAAACAGCACATTGAATCAACATCATTGATAAAGCCCCACGCCATACAACACGAGCATGACAAAACGGTTATCATCCAGAGGAGACAGTTCGGAAGCATTCTCTTCTTCCCCCCCCCCTCCCCCTCCAAAACAAATAATCAGGGGCCTCAGCACTAGTTTAGTTTTGTTACATTCCGGGAGCATTCTCTACATGCACTGCTGCATGACAAATGTTGTAATTTGAAATAAATGCACACCCGGAACAAAGTGACGCATCCAGTAGAAGAGATAAGGTGTGCCGAGGCCAAAACGGACTGACCTCTACTGAGCATACAAGACATATGACGAAAGCGCATGGCATAACATTATAAAATGACACGCATAAATTCGTCTACTTAAATATCACGCAATGCTAATGTTCCAAGTCCGGACACTCCTGACTAAGACAGTCTGCCCAGTGTTCCCCGCTCTCGCCGGCGGCCCCATCATTGTCCAGATAATCGTAGCAGCCATTCTTCTTCCGGATCAGGTCCCCCCACAGGAGGGACGTGCCGCAGGCAGGACACGCGCCCTCCACGGGCAGCAGGCAGGCGGAGCCACGCAGCAGCTCGTCGGCCAGGCAGACGAGGTGCGCCACCAGCGGACACCGCGGGCTGAGACAGGTCAGCGCGTCGGCGGCGGGCACGCCGGCGCCGCACAGCGCGCACTCCAGCCGCTCGCCGTCCGCCGCCGTCCGCTCCTTGGCCTTGGCCGGCCGCACGGCGCCCTGGACGACGGGCATGTGCGGCGGCGGCAGGCAGTCGGCGGGCAGCGGGCGCCGGTACTCGGGCCGCAGCCAGCGTACGGTCAGCGGCAGCCGCCGCCACGGGCCCGCCTGCAGCATGGCCGCCATCACGCGCAGGCAGTAGTCGAACTTGACCTCGCGCGCCCGCTTGGCCGGCACGTGGCGCAGCCGGCGCGAGCGGGCCGGGTTCTGCCACGCCCACTCGAAGCGCAACGCGGCGATGCTGTTGGGAAATCCGTGCACGATGAGCGCCATCTCCCATGGGCCGCGGTTGCTGGTGCGGCCGGCGCCGCCTGCATGCCGGCCCTTGTTGTGCTGCTTGATCCGCCGGTTGGGGTCGGTCGTATAGCCGATGTAGGTGCGGCCCTTGAAGCGAGGGTTCTGGCAGTATAGTAGGTATACACCATAGAAGCTTTCAACTATATCCATTATTCAGGTCAGGAAAGTTTACAGAAGCCCAGCAGACATCATTTATGCTATTCTTCAGCCGTTGTTTTATATTCTGAAGCCACCCCACTGGAAAAATAGTCATCATTGATTACTTCCAGTTCAACAGCAGTTGACCCCTATTTTCCAGTAGAACATGTCACATCTGCTTCACTGAGTTTTCAATATCAACAGCAAGTTCAAATATTTTAAATGGCAAGCTGTGTGGTGCTAATGGAAATGTAAGTCTCCAAGAGGATTCAAGAAGCTTAAAAATCACTGCAAAGAGACAAAGTTATTTGGGTAGTAGAAAACACTGCATTACTTCATTTCCAGAGCTGGAATGATTGGTTACACCACAGGTTGTGTCTAGTGTGTTAGTGTGCACATTATGGAAGGGGAGGGAGGGGGGGGGGGGGGGCAGGGCACAGGTGCACATACTAAAATGGAATAATTATCCAGACATTATCCCCATATGGTCCTTTAGGAGGTATGCAGATATGAACACTTTGGAAGGGGTACAGGGGTACATGTTAAAATACCAGCTGAGGATGATAATCTGAACAAATAATAAATCCATGATTCTTATGCATTACACCAATCTTCCCACTAAACTTCAACTCTGGGTTTGAATAATCGATTGTGACCATTTTTCAGTTACAGCACAGCAGACCATTCCAAGATTAGGTGATACTTCTAACTCCTAAGATGAAGAAAATATGTTTTCTTCAGACTGCACTGCTGTGCTGTTTTGGTATAAAAGTGGTTGCATGATAAATATGCTAATAGCAATAGAAGCATCTAGGCAGTCTGGCAAAAGGGATATCCTACAAATCAATCATGCAGCACACTATTTAGTAATTTGTTTAATCATTCATTGCTCTTAGTTTGGACTGAGATTAAGCTTACCCTTTTTACAATGAAGCCCAAATACTACAACCTTAAAATACACCATGACGACAGTCATACAACCTATGCTAACCTAGAAGGCAAAACGTTATTACAAGCTCCCAATAATAAAGTCATCAGCATCTAGGAGTCAGGGGCATGATCACTCAGTCCCGAAATGGCCCATGCCATGAAAGCAATAGCATCAGGCACATGTGAAAGCAACTAAGCACTTCAAATGCATACACACTGTACAGTCGCATCACTTCTGCAAAAAATTGCGTGCTGAATTTCGCTTCGATTTTCTCTGCACGTTGACTT